TGGCAGGATGGTGGTGATGTGCGTGGCCGGGCTGTTCTTCATTCCCGTCGCTGGCCTGACGGGGTTCCACGTGGTGCTCGTGGCCAGGGGCCGCACTACCAACGAACAGGTAGGGCCCGTGGGGCTACGGTGAGGCCACTTACGAACACATTTTGGGGCTCCCCGGAGCAGGGTGGATGTGGATGGGCTGGATTGAGGCAGGGGGAGGCCCTTGAGCTGGAGGGGCAGAGCACAGGTTGCCTGAGGGGCAGCCTGGGGTTGCGGGTGCTGCCAGAGGATGGAGCCAGGCGGGCACTTCTGGGGGGCGGGAGGCAAAATCGGGGAGACCTTTCCCCCTCCAGGGTATAGTTGAACACTTAAACAGGGACCAGGATAAGGGAGAGGATCTCTGAGTATCTCTGTCCTTGGAGATTGTCCTGAGGCTGCTGGACAAACCCTGGCGTGGCTGGCTGGGCTGAGCCCCCCACGGTCCCTGCCTGCCCCGAGGCTGTGACACTCCTTTACCCCGCAGGTAACAGGCAAGTTCCGTGGGGGTGTCAACCCCTTCACCAACGGTTGTTGTAAGAACGTCAGCCGGGTCCTCTGCAGCTCCCCGGCCCCCAGGTGAGCCCAGGCAGTGCAGGTACCCCTGACCCCCATCACACCCAGCCCTGGCACCCTCAGGGAAACCACCAGGCCGTGACCTTCCTCCCACCCCCTCCCCAGGTACCTTGGGCGCCCGAAGGCCGAGCAGACGGTGCTGGTGAGACCCCCCTTCCTGCGGCCCGAGGTGTCGGATGGTCAGATCACTGTCAAGATCATGGACAACGGTATCCAGACAGAGCTGAAGAGGACGAAGGTGAGGAAGGTGGGGACCAGCGCTGCCCGCGCTGGGGCCCTCCACAGAGCCCAGGGGTGCGAGCCTGCATCCGTGAGTAGAGAACCGAGTGAGCCTGGTCACGTCCCTTGTACCCCTCCGTGTCGTCTTGTTCCATGTCCCCACGAGATGGAAACCGTGTCCCTCCCATGTGGCAGCGGCCACATGAGGCTTTGCCCTTCCCGGTCCCGTCCTTCCCCACACAGCACCCTTTGGAGGTCCCCCCTCCTTGGCACTTCCAGCCCCAAGCGCGCGGTCTGTCGGATGGCCCGGGGGGCAGCGAGAGCCCCCAGCACCACTGCCCACTGCCTGCCCGCCCGGGGGGCCTGAGCCCTCGGCCCCCCCTGACCCCCCCTGCGCTTTGTCTCTGCAGTCCAAGGGGAGCCTGGAAGTGACGGAGAGCCAGTCTGCTGACGCCGAGCCGCCACCCCCACCTAAGCCCGACCTCAGCCGCTACACGGGCCTGAGGACACACTTAACCCTGGCCACCACCGAGGGTAAGGAGGGCACCAGGGCCCCGGCAGCCGCTGGGAAGGGAGCCCAGGGCTGTGCCAGGCAGGCCAGGAGCCAGGGTCGTAGGCGGCTTTAACAGGCTGCAGGGCAGACCCGGAGCACATCGGCACCGCCGCACTTCCCGGGCTGCTGTGTGCGGCCCCTCGTGCTTGGAGAAGCCTGCGGGACGCTCACAGCCGGAAGGCCGAGCCGGCGTGGCGCTGCCCGGAGCCGCGGGGAGCTGTGCCTTGCAGCCACGGCGCTGCCGGGACGGAGGAGGCGAAGCGGTGGCGGGCCCGGCTTGGCAGCACAGCACGTCTCGGCTGGCTCCTGCGTGGGCTCGGCCAGAGGTGGGATGTGACGGGCAGAGCCTGTGGCAGCTGCTTCCCACAGCGGCTGGAGACCCCACAGCTCTCCCAGCCCCACTGCCCACCGAGGGCTGCAGTGTGTGTGTCCCTGGGGGGAGCACCCTGGCACCCCCGTGCAGTGCACCCTCCCGGGTGTCACCCAGCCGGGGCTGCTGCAGGGGCGCGGAAGTGCCAGCCCCACACACGTGGCTGTGGGGACACCCCTTCATCCCGCTCCGTCTCTCCTGCCCCGCTGCGCCTCCCTTCCAGCCTGTCCCTCCCTCCCCAGTCTGTCCACCCCAGGCTCGGAGCCGGTTCTTGGGCAGGGAGGGCAGGGCTGGGCGTGTTCCTTCCCCACAGCCCCGGGGAGCTGCTGCCCCCCTGAGTG